AGCCAACATTTGCAGATGCTTACAGCAACATGGGCAATACACTTAAAGAAATGCAGGATGTCCAGGGAGCTCTCCAGTGCTACACTAGAGCCATCCAAATCAACCCAGCATTTGCTGATGCTCATAGCAACTTGGCTTCAATACACAAGGTATTCACATTGGTTTATATTGTCATTCTTCTTGACTGTTATAATTTGTCACACTTATTTAATGTGATTTGAAAAATCTGTGACAATGATGTACTCTTATCATGAGAATATACCAGGTGATTCAAAAAGGACTTTACAACTTTGAAAGTGTATAGAAATTTATTCAGAAGGCTTACAGAATCGGTTGAGGTGTCATTTTGTAGCAAAATAAATCAAGTTTGACTCACGCTGTGCTGTAGTACCGAATTCCGTCACCGCGAGCGCAAGCGGCAGTACATTTGAAAATGGCTCTAAAATTTTCTCATACCACAGTTAGAGGAAGATGACCAAAAAGGACGCATTCACTTCCAGCAAGACAGCGCACCACCTCACTACCTCACAGAAGTCCGGGAGATCTTTAATGAAACCCCATAAGAAAAAATCGAGAGGTGTCAAATCTGGAGAACGAGGTGGCCATGCTATCGACCCTGTTCGACCAATCCACCGACCTGGGAAACGGTTATTGAGGAAATCCCGGACTTCTGTGAGGTAGTGAGGTGGTGCGCCGTCTGGCTGGAAGTTAATGCGTCCTTTTTGGTCATCTTCGTCTAACTGTGGTATGAGAAAATTTTCGAGCCATTTTCAAATTCACTGCCGCTTGCGCTCGCGGTGACGGAATTCGGTACTACAGCACAACGTGAGTTAAACTTGATTTGTTTTGCTACAAAATGACAGCTCAACCGATTCTGTAAGCCTTCTGAATAAATTTCTATACACTTTCAAAGTTGTAAAGTCCTTTTTGAATCACCCTGTATTCTTTGAACTTTGTGCATTGTATAAAACAGTTACAGTGTTTTAGAGTCTTTCCCTGTTCTCATTTTGCTTTTGGTCTTGCTTCGTGGAGAACATTTCTATTTACCTGATCTTTCAGTCTTTATAATCTCTCTCTCAACATACCATGCTTCAGTTAGTTCATTGAATTCCTGGTGACGTGTTCAAACATTAAATGCCATCTTTGGGCCATACTTATTTTACAAAGTAACAGTGTGCCAAACTTTTAATTCTCATGAAATGTTTTAAAATTTGTACTTGTGTTTGGATTTCTGAACAGTTGCATTGATCATGTTGGTGCAGAGGTTGTCTCTTATTCTTATATTTTATTTTCTGTGTAAGTCTTTGTCATTCATGTTATGTGACCAGTATTAGCTTGTAGTAAAATTTTGTCCTGGATATGACATATTTAGTGTTAAAACATGTCACCAAAAATGGCATGAATGAATTAGAGCAGAAAAATGAATTATTGGGTAGATGGTGTAAATAAACAAATTACAGAAAGAAAAATACAGCTGGAATGCCAAAATGTAAATTCTGAAGTTGTGTTTACACTCATCATGACTGTCAAAATATTATCTAAAACGTGTGTATGAAATTAGAGCTTTAAGCAGATTTTGCTCTGTAATGAAAAAATAAGTATTAAAGATGAAAACATTAATTATTCACATTTGTTTCTTTCCATACAAAAGCAGCATTCCCGACTCAGTGTCAGTGAACTATTAAAAGTATTGTGGTCTTGAAGGTGGTTATCATGATATTGGACAAAACATATGAACTTATAAAATCTGATCCAGATAGTTGGAGTCACAAAAGTTGGGAACAATGTTTTTCCCTTGAAGGACACTTTTCAACTGAGAACTCAAAATTACTTCTCAAGTTAACATTTGAATTTAAATTTTCTGTGCTTGTCAGTTGAAGTCATATTATAGATATATAAAATCATGCATACAAACAAAACTGTTTACACTAGAAAAGACACTTAGTGCCAGATGTGTTTTGACCGTAAGAGGTCATCATCAACAAATTAATTCATACAATTCATAAGACGGTGGTTTGTTATAAAGCATAAAAGTTGCACCTAAGTTGAGTTACTTAACTAAGCTAAGTAACTCAATTTAGATAATACACCAACTCTTGCGCAATTAATATCCATTGTGGTATTACATGAAGTTTGGTTTTGTAAAGTGCAACCTTTTATGCTTTATAACAAACCATCGTCTTATGAATTGTATGAATTAATTTGTTTGCCACTGATGATGACCACTTGAAGTCGAAACTCATATGGCACTAAGTGTCTTTTCAAGTGTAAACAGTTTTGTTTGATTGCATGATTTTATATATCAATACACTGCACATTATGCAAGGTTTTAAGATTATTGTAGATACCAATGCCCAGTCATGTGAGTGAATGCAGAACATTTTTTTCCCCCAGGATTCTGGAAATATCCCAGAAGCGATCCAGTCATACCGCACAGCACTCAAGCTCAAGCCAGACTTCCCAGATGCATACTGCAACTTGGCCCACTGCCTTCAGATTGTATGTGATTGGACTGACTATGAGGCACGAATGAAGAAACTAGTCAGCATTGTAGCTGAGCAGCTAGACAAAAATCGCTTGCCTTCAGTGCATCCACACCACTCAATGCTGTACCCACTTTCCCATGAATTCAGAAAAGCCATTGCTGCCAGACATGCCAATCTCTGTCTAGAAAAGGTAAGAGTAAGTGTTTCCTTCTTGCAGCTTAGAAATACATGTTAAATTCACATTTTCAAATTGCCCAGTGACAGGAAGTATTCTGTTCTTCTGTCACGAACATTTATAAACACCTGCATTTGAAATCGTCTGTTTACTAAAGAAGCTTAAAATTGGGACTTCAGATTAGTAAATTGCTAAACATTAACTGAAATATAGTGTCAGTGTTCTTAAATTTGCTAGATTAATAAATGGATAAAACTGAGCAGTTAGAAATATAGTGTCACTGTTTCTAAATGTGCTGTTCTGAGGGCATTATGGTTGATTATTTTGTTCTCCAATTCTTCTCACTGTTTATATAACACAGTAAGTGCAGATGTAATTGCACATTTTTTCCATGCCTTTTTTCATTATTTTTAAATTCCTTCCTATAGAAAATACAGCTAATAACACATTAACATATTTATTTACACATAATTAATGCATTTTGTTCACATAAATGGCCGTCTTCTAGGTTGTTGCACTGTGTAGTCTGGTAGAAGTTTACCGACATTCCAGAGATCCTTGCTGTCTCCATCATCAGAGCACCCTGATGGAGTCAAGCAACATTTTGGCCCACATGCACTTTGAAGTTGTGCAGGCCTGGCTTGGAGCACTTTGTTAATATAAAAAGTACAAATTGTCTCTGTGAAATCAGACTGGAATACCTTTTTGTGTATATTAATCAGTTAAACTTTTAAGAGTGCTGTCTTCTGGGTTGTTGTGCTGTGTTCTCCGGTAGATGTCCCCCATCACTTCAGAGGTCATGCTGCCTACAGCAATCTTCAAACTCACCACCGTGAAAACCTCAAATCCTACACAGTTAAACCGTGTCCATCATTTAAGTTATTTTAAATCACATTGTTTCTGAAGGTGGTTTCTCTTCTATCTGCAGGTAGGTGATAGGAAAACAAGGCCTACTCTGTTCTGACCCCTTGGCAAGTTAGTCTTAAACTTGGATCCCACAGGGGCCAGGTTTTACACTAGCTTGGGAAGGGTCCCAACAGAATAGGTTCTGTCCTCCCACCAGTCACTTGAAGACAATAGTAGAACCAACTTCTGAAAAGTTGTGGTTTAAAAATTTATAGACAGTGCATGTGTTAATGCAGTTGATTCATTTTGCCAAAATACTGGGCATGTGGATTAGGTGCTACAACTGAACAAATCTCTCTCTCTTTTGTTGTGTAAACTCCAGTATATTGCTGAGAGGGAGATCAGGGAAGTTATAGTTGAAATGCTTGGTTCTGATGTTTTAAAATTACACATTTTGAGGACTGGATCTGTCCTCACCTTCAGGTGTAGTGAAGGGGAAGGGCACCTACTGTGTGGGTGTCCGTTACAATGAGCTCAATCACTGGACAGCCTAGGTCAGAACAACTACAAGTGTATAAGCACCTGAGATCAGGTTATGTCAACAGGAGATAATAAGATTAACAATAAAAATTATAAGAAGGCATTTGAATGTCAAGTCTAAAGCAAACATATGATGGAAATTAAAATACATTAAACCAAATACAGAACCACCCAATTCAGGAACCCCATGCAAGAGAGATACATTGTATGATTTTATAACATTAGACAATGGACAAGGTACAAAGACCCAACATTCCAGATAGTTTTTCGTTAGTAAAATTTCTGTATCACTTTAATTGCCTATGAAGAGGAAAAAAGAATTTTGTAGACATTGTTAAATGGCAAAGTCAGTGAAATTGACTGGTGTTTGTGAAATAGAAATTACTTGAATAATGTAGAAGAGAAGAGCTTTGTTCATTGAAGTGTCGACAAAAGTGACTGTCTTCATAGGTCTTGCAGTCTAAAGATATTGTCCAGCATTTTAGATAAGCTTACTGCCTCCAGCACCTTGATGTTACAAGCAGTAAGCTCCTCTGAATACATAAATCATTATCTTCTGTACTATGCAGTGCCACATCCCAGAATACAAACATCTTCATACTTGTTACCATGAGAACTTCAAATTTCACCAGGGTTTGTTTTCCTGCACATTAATTTGCTTTGTTAACAGATTCATGTTCTACACAAACCCCCATACAAGTATCCAAAAGACCTGGCTGGAAACCGCCTGCGTATAGGCTATGTGTCTTCAGACTTCGGAAACCATCCAACATCACACTTAATGCAGTCAATCCCAGGTCTGCATGACAGTACCAAGGTAGAAGTTTTCTGCTATGCATTAAGTGCAGATGATGGGACCACATTCCGAGCCAAGATAGCCAGAGAGGCTGAACATTTTGTAGATCTATCACAGGTAAAGTTCCTTGCACTAAATACAAGTTAAATCTCTTCTTGTTTAAGATCTTTCTTACAGTGTACATTGGGTTATACTTATATGGTGGTGGGATGTGTGCACGTGCATGTGTGTGTTGGTTTGTTGTGTGAAAACTAAGGTAGGAAATGTGCTTTGCACTCAGTGTCAGGAAAGCAATGGGTATTGAGCAGGGACAGAAAACTTTTAGATGTTTCGGCTGCAGTTCTGATAAATTTTGTCTGTGTTAACATTGACAGCCACTAGACAGTTTGATATGGTAATTTGCAAAAAAAAATACATTTTTTGCTGTTGCTTTGTGCTCTCACCCCAGATATCAAACATGTGGTTGGTTGCTCAGGAAAAGCTGTAAGATAACAATATTGTACCTTCACTTTGATACCACTTATAACCATTTGTTTCATTGTCAGAACGGTCAAAGAATGGAAGAACTTTTTAAAAATGTGCAGCAAGACATGTTATATTAAATACACTGGGGTTATTCTGAAAAAAACAAGGATGGCTGGCATCACTTTTTATTGGTAACATTTTATGTAGATTCGGCTCAAGGAAGCAGAGAGGATGTACCCCTTATGGATAACATTTTGGCACAAATGAGTGGGAAGTACATTTGCTACTGTTCACAAAAGGATTGATTATTTTTCTGTCATCCAAGCCTTTTTGTTGGCGTGATATTTCACCGGAAGTTTTTTCATGTTTTTGAAACAACGCGGTTTTCGTGATTTTCCAACTACAATCGGAACCCGTTTGTCACTACCGTCACTGTTAACACACAGAAGAACAGTAATTCGGTGTTTTGCACGTATTCCCCCGTGGCAAGATTCACCTTTCAATGCCAGAGTCCTATCCGGGAGGGCGTTGTAGAAAAGTCCGGTCTCATCCGCATTATAAATGTCCCGCGGCTCATATCCCTCCAGCAGTGTTGGCAGTCTCTCGAGCCACAGCTCCGTTATTTCCACATCCACAGCAGCACTTTCGCCTTTCCTTTGTCCTTGTAATAAAAGCATTTGTGAAGAAATTCACACTGCACATGCCATCTGGCATCGCTGGAACGAAATATGAGTGCACCCTAATTAAAATCGTAAAATTTCTGACAATGAGCACCGCCATTCACTCCAATATCACCCCTGCACCGCTGACCCTCATTCCAAAAGAATGTGCTGGTTGGGCGACATAACAGGTTACCGCTACTGTTTATTCCAAAAACATTGTGCGTCTTTCGGTATTAATTTATCTCAACACCCAGCATTTTAAATTCTCAGAAACGATCATTGCGGGAAAATTGTTGGCCGGGACTAAGATTTTTGAACGATCGATGCGATAAAACGATAGTTCGAGGAACGATAGAAGCGGGAAAATGTAACATTATTTTATATGGGATGTATTCGGGACCGAACAAAACGGACGATGCATCCGGGAAAACGATAGTTCCGGGAACGATGGATAGAGGTTTCACTGTATTCTTGCTTTCACTGTATGATTTCAACTATATTTGCCACTGGTCTCTGTTAACTAGCAGTTAGTGTGCAAGTGCAAACATATTTCAGGAGCCTTGATGAAACTGTCAACCACGGATGTTCAGAATCCATACATATTTTAATAGAACTGCCATTGAATTTAAAATTTAATATGTACATGTTGATAATGTGTTGTAGATTCCATGCAATGGCAAAGCAGCTGATCGCATAAATGCTGATGGAATTCATGTATTGGTGAACATGAATGGCTATACAAAGGGTGCCAGAAATGAGATCTTTGCGCTAAGACCTGCGCCAGTACAAGTTATGTGGCTGGGTTATCCTGGCACAAGTGGAGCCAGCTTCATGGACTATCTCATCACTGATGTGGTGACCTCACCCCTGGAGCTAGCTAGCCAGTACAGTGAGAAGCTTGCATACATGCCACACACTTACTTCACTGGTGACCATAGACAGATGTTTCCCCACCTTAAGGAGAGAGTCATTCTTACAGACAAGGTAAGTAATTTTTTCTAGCCAAATTACTATGTGCAGCACATAACATTGTCTTGACAAACAGTATTTATAATGTTTTTCTTCTAAATTAGTATGTAGATGATTCTTATTTACTACAAATTTCACTTTTCTGTCATTACTGTTCTCACAGTAACGTATTTCAAATGTTGTTGTTACATACAAGCAAGCCATTTCTACTTGTTTTCCATTCCTGAGTGCAAACTGTTTGGTGTAGTGATAATGCTATAGATGTGTGTTCAGAAAACTGACTCACCCTCATCATTCTCTCACACAAGAGATAAGTTTATGAGCATGGCCTCCATAAAAGAAATTCTTCCATCTTGTTTCAAGTTTAACATTTTTAGAAGCAGTGCTGAACAGCCTTAGTTTGCAGAATAAGTTGTGATCTTAAGCAGTTTTGTAAGATAGTTTGTTTCTGTTTTTGTAGTTTGGTGCCAAGAAGGAAGTTCCCGACAACGTGGCTGTGATCAATGCAACTGACCTTTCCCAAATCATGGAGCACACCCAAGTGAAAGAGATCAGAGAGCTGGTTGCTCCTGACAACAAGCTCAGTACCCGACCTGTTGAGATTTCTCTAAAAGTAGCAGAACTACCCACCACCACACCCATAGAGGTAAACAGGCAGTAACTACAGTCAAATTCTCTGTGATTTGTATGCTCCATCTTTAGCTTTTGCATATTTTTATTTAACTGCTGAGGGTATTATATTGATAATGCATGAGACTCTCACATTATTTACTGTTAATAACATTACCGTTATAGAAAATGTTTCAATTTCTTTGATTTATCCTTTCTTACACCATACATACATTAGTTGATGTTTTGTGCAAATATTCACACAATGTATAATTAAAATGACCAACTTTTTATGAATATTATGGATATAGAAGATGAAATGATCATGTACTTATGCATAATGGTGTACCATTAACCGGGGCAATTGTTATTTTCTATATGCCAATTGTAGTCTTGAATTTTGAATCACACCCAGCTGAACTGCCCTCATTCTTGCATCCTGCCACAGGTGTGTGTGTGTGTGTGTGTCTGTGTCTGTCTGTGTGTCTGTCTCCCCCCCCCAACCATTCCCCTTCACCAAATAATGATTATGGTTGTGATTCAAAGTGGTATATTATATCATGTTAACCACAGGACTTTACTATAAACCCTGTGCCACATTGGTAGTTTTGAAATGCAAATTAAATATGTGAAATTGCAAAATTGAAGAAGTGTGATAATGTTCATAGTAGAAGTAGGGGTAAAAAGAGATACAGGTATCCCTCGATTTACACCAGGGATGTGTTCCTGGACGAACTGGTGTAAATGGAATCAGCGTAAATTGAAACTCTTTTATAATGTAAATCAACATGTGTTCCCAAAACCCAAACATGGACAAGTAATATAATGGCATTACATTTAAAGCACTGAAATAACGTAAATAAAATAAAAGAAATTTAAAAAAATATATTTCATACACTTACAATCGGCAATTCGTTGGTCCCCAGGATTCTTTCATGTGATTGATGTGTACAGTCATCTCTGCTGTTATGCGATAGTTGCATTCATGTAAGACGCCAATCTATAGAAAATCGTGTAGTAAAAATAACCCCAGTACCTCCACAGAGATTAAATTAGTCCTTTGAAAGTTTAAAGTGCCAGGAATGAAATTGCATAAGAGCAAACTCGCATATGCAAAAGTTTGCATTTCACAAACAGCTTTTACCGATTCATCGCTCTCATTGGAGCAAATTCGCGAAACCTACGTAATTGCAGAGATGACTGCATTTATAATCTTTATTGAAAATCATCTATGTAAGAATTACGATTTAATATAAGAAGCAGTACAAGAAACATTGTAAAACGTTATAAATAATAGTAAAATATATTTTTTTCCACTTTTTGACTTGCTGGTTTCAAAATCGGTGCAAATCGAGGGCTACCTGTAGTTCTGTCTGTGCCTACATACCACATCATGAAAATTCATTTTTATCTTGGCACTGGTAGAAGGTGAGGGATCACCTTTACACATCATCTGCTTCCCCCCTCTCAAGGGAACCGAACATACACTTCTTGTACCTACTGGATATTTGGTGGGTGGATCCCAGAGCCAGGTGGATATAATGGTGAGGAGAGAAATCCTGCTTCTGCTAAGAATAAAGCTTGTCATTTATCCAATAGTCATATGGCTCCAGAAGAGCATATAAGCAGGCAGAAAGAGTGAATTCAGTCCCTCTCATCATTGTTATTTTTGCAGACAATGATTGCATCTGGACAAATCCAAACTTCAGTGAATGGTGTGGTGCTTCAGAATGGACTAGCAACAAATCAAACAAATAACAAAGCTGCTACAGGTGAAGAGGTCCCACAGAGCATTGTGATCACAACTCGACAGCAGTATGGCCTACCTGATGAGGCTGTTGTCTATTGTAATTTTAATCAACTATATAAGATTGATCCCCTCACATTGCAGATGTGGGTCCATGTAAGTACACACCCTTCCACATTTTGTGTAATCTAAATCCATCCAGAATCGGTGATTTTTTTATAGAAAGGTTGTTATCTGGAGTTGTAATTTTTGTGCCTTTTGGTTAATAGGTGTGAAATAATTTAGTCTCTTTCTGTAAGGAAATAAGATAGGTTGAAAATTCAAACAAAATAGTGAAAATATTTAGATATAAAAATAATGTACATGGATGGATGAAATTAGGAAGAGCCTTATGTATAGTTTGTACTCTTTGCCTGATATTGCTAGGATTGAAATCAAGGATGAGACATGTATAGGAAGAATGAGAAATGTGAACCTGAATGGAAGAGGCCGTGTGGGAAACCTGGGTGTTCATTGGAGGGTAATATTAAAGTGGATCTTAACAGAAATAGGTTGTTAAGATTGGGGTAGGATTCAACGTATTATAATAGAGTTCAATGGCAGGCTTTTTGTTGATGTGGGTTTGGTTCCATGAATGCAGGGAATTTCTTGATCAGCTGAGTACATAGTTTTCAAGGAAAATCTGCATCATCATATTAGAATAGTTTTGACACTAAGTAATACATTGCATATGATAAGTAATGCTTTTGTTTGTTTGTTTGTTAGAAAAGAGAACTTGCTGATGTTCACAAATTGTGTTTGTTGACAGATATTGAAACATGTTCCAAAATCTGTGCTGTGGCTGCTGCGCTTCCCAGCAGTTGGAGAACCCAACTTGCAGGCAGCAGCCCAACAGCTTGGCCTGCCACCGGGAAGGATCCTGTTCAGTAATGTGGCGGCCAAAGAGGAACATGTGAGACGAGGACAGTTGGCTGATGTGTGTCTGGACACACCCCTGTGTAATGGACATACCACAAGCATGGATGTTCTGTGGACTGGCACACCTGTAGTTACTCTTCCAGGTATATCCACTTTCAGGGTATAATTTTTTTCACGTTTGGATCACTCTTTTACTTTTTGTAGCACCGCACTTGAAAATCACTTAGACAAATATTTAGTGTTCCATCTGCCTTTTATAGGGTTTTGTTATTAACTCTTTAGTGGTTAGTTCAGGGACAATGGATTTAATCTTCATAACACCAAATGATCACTTTAGTGTCATGCATGCCTGTATGAGTGATCAGTGGCAGATTTAACTGATCTTATAAACAGCAGCAGGTAGGCCTATATAAATATCTTCATATTGATAAGTCAGAAGAATCTGTCATGGTAGAAGAGTTATTGTCATATTCAGTGGAAGTTGTGTCCAGGTAGTATATTCATAAAAACATAAGCACTTTGAAATAAAGCTCTACAAATTGTGTGGCAGGGTGACAGAACAACTTACATTTTCAAATGAGAACCTGAAGATAAATAAAGTTGGTAATTTGATATAATGTCTTGGATGTGGAGAAATCTGAGGTCTATGTGTTGGACAAATGGGAGTTACATACATTCATGTCCCAACACCAGAAGGAAGCTTCAGAGACAAATCTGGCAGTACCATGAATTACCTGGTCATTAATGAATATAACCCCTCTGTGGTTTATGACAGCAAAAGTGATTAGATGTTCGCTAGTTATGATATGAGCAAAAAAAGGACCTGGAAGTGGACAGAGGAGCTCTTCTTTCACCACACAACCCCACTGTTGAGTCATGTCTAGGACCAACTGAATCCATTCCATATTGTAATACTACCTTCACTCTATTCTTAGGTTACCTAACTTGTTACTTTCCTCGAAGTCTTAACATGTATACAGAGTTGTACACTATGAGAACATGGTTTATTGAAGTTGAATTGTATGCACCAGCTGTTGTTATTTTTATTGAAAACATTGTTGCAGGAGAAACGTTGGCATCTCGTGTTGCTGCATCTCAGTTGGCAACACTGGGTTGTCCTGAGCTGGTTGCTTGCACCCGCCAAGAATACCAAGATATTGCTGTGCGCCTGGGCACTGACAGAGAGTAGTAAGTATCAGTTACACGTTAATGTGTATGGTGTTAGTCCACAAGTTTAAAAATAAAGGATCTGTCCCCACCTTCATTTCTTCCTTTCTTGCATTGCCATATTATATTGTCATTTTACTGTAAACATCTTATATGTTTATAAATAATAGATTTGCCATATATACTTGCTTGCTTGTAGTTCGCACCTCTGTCTTAAATAAAAAAAGTTTAGTACTTTGATTGCATAAAAATGTCTTATGAGTTATGTCAGGAATTGCTTTTACACTCGCATCACATTTTGTAACCGCTCTCTTCCTTCCTTGCTGATCGCAAGGAGCCCTACTACGATGTTGTTGGTTGGGATTGTTGGGATCTCTCAGGGTTCCTTGCTCAGCTCAGCTAGTCGGTATGCATCGACTCACTGTCATTCGGTGTCAGGGCCAGATTGAAAACATGGATTGTTTGGAGGTAACACACTATTTATTTAGGACCTGCGTGATCCTTCATGTTTTACACTTTGTAGATTTTACAATCCTCACAACTCACAACTACATGCTGACTTCACAATTACCTCCTTTCTTAATACTGTAACTTTTAATGTAATGTATGAATCTTGAATACTGAATAATCTTGAATGCTGAATAAGGACTATTGAATGACTCTCTGTGGGCAAAATAACCCCCTTTTATATTGTAAGCACCCTTAGGGCTTGACAACCAAAATTCCCAGTTTTGCCCAGAAGGAAAGGTAACATCAAGTCCCATTGGTGTGGGTCCAGGTTCCCTTCGAAGGACCTCCCCTTTCCCATCAATCTTCAGGGAGTTCCTCCCACACTTTTACTTCCAAAAGGGCCTCACTAACTAGCGGTAAAACCCACTTAGGCTAAGAGCAGGTAATTCCTGTACCAGGGAATTTCCAAGTCTGGAAATTCCTAAAACCTCTGCATTCCATGTACTTAAAGTACAGCTACATCACTTAGTATGTAAGACTTGAGGTTCTCACAGCGGTGAGTATGAAGATATCCATCTTCTGGGTTATTGCGCTGTGTAGTCTGGTCGATGTTAACCAACGTTAAAACGTTAAAACGTTGGTTAACATCAACCAGACTACACAGCGCAATAACCCAGAAGGCTGATATCTACATCACTTAGCATCAGCTGTCCATAGTTGATCCCAAGCTTACAATAGTTCTGAATATAAAGAAAATACAAAGGAATCATAAACTATCAAAAGAGAAAGCAGGACAATAAGTGGCTAATACAAAAACCATATGACCTAGCACATAAAAGTTGGGTTTCTTAAAAGTATAGAATTAGCATACACCAGTACAGGCATTGATGAGCGGTTACAATGTGGTCTTCAGTTGGCACAGTTTGCGATGAATATGCTCTTGCTTTATATTCAGAAATCCTTTTTGCTGTTTATGTTGATCACAATTTGACATACTTGTTTATTATTTGTAGTAACACTGTCCCACTTCTGTTATGAAAACAGTTGTGTTCATGTGATAATTCTGAGATCAAAAAGACAGAGCATTTCTGGCAGTTGGAAAATGTTTAATTGATTACACAGTCAATCCCTGGTGGCCCTCTATATGCTGCCACCCTCACATTGCACCCATGAAAGTCTTAGAAGAAAAATTCCCTCTGTAATTAGAAATGGAAACTCCCTGGACTATTCATTTGTAAAAATACTGTATACTGTCTGTGTTACTATGAGTTGCCTCTCTGAAAAATGACACAATAGAGAAAGTAGTGGTCTTTGATTAAGATAAGACTTATTCAGAGACTTAGCTTAAATCTAAGACTGCCTAGTAACATATATAGAGCAGATATTATTTCAGGTTCCTTTGTTCTGCTTATTCTTGTGTTTTATCCATTCATCCTCATCTACCAGTTCTACATATGCACTGACATTTCCTCCACACCTGGTGCAACTGTTACAGTAGTTGATCATCTGCACCACAAGCATTTCTCTACACCACCACCATCACAAACTCTTCATGTCTTCACTTCATCTCTCAACATCATATTCAACCACTACTTTACAAATTCTCAATTACTTCAGCAAGACAACCATCAGTTCACTGCACCATTACTGTCATGTCTTCATAACTTGATCACTGTTAACTACCAACACCTCATTGCACCATGCCAACCTGTTTTACAAACACCATCAACACCTGACCTCAGTACCACTACCTTGCCATACCACAGCCATCAACTCGGTGAATGCATCTCACTACTTGATTGCCATTCCACTACCACCATCAAGTAGCACCTCATTACCTCATTGTACAGCTACCACATCATTACCACAAATGTTAACAAAAAATTATCCAATTACCTGGTGGTGATAATGACAATGTACTTAATACTGTCTGATGCTGTTTCAGCCTAAAGGCTGCACGTGGAAAAGTGTGGCGTGCACGGACAGACAGCCCCTTGTTTGACTGCTTGCAGTATGCTCAGGGCATGGAGAAGTTATATAAGCAGATGTGGGAGCGACATTCCCATGGGGAGAAGCCGGACCATATTGTGGACAAGTAGGCTTTGAGGTACCAAGCATGCTGTGTCTGGAAGTTCTCTTACCCCATTTTTAATGAAAGTTGAATTTATGTTATTGGTAGGATAGCTTAGACCTAGAGTACTGTTTTAGTAGATGCATAATTGGATGTTAAATTTGTAGTTTTATTTCATGCTGTTCATTTGAAATGGAGTCTTTGCCAAACAAGTTTACCTGTTATATCTGTTTACCACATTAATGGCCATCTACACTTATCACAATATTAGCTTTTTATTTACAGATGTTTTCTGGTCTTGTAAGCCATCATCATCATGTAATCCATGATCCCTCTTCAGTCATTTATATAAAGTTTACACACATACCTTATGCATTCATAACACTTAAAAAATTGTCATAAGTGTAGATGGTGAATAATGTGATAACATAGATTATACCAGACACCACAGAAAGTGTATACAGTTAAGACATGTTATATCCCATTGTGTGCTTCCAGACACAATACCCCATGCAAGTAAAATTACTTTGCCTTTCACTTAAATAATCTGTGTTGGATTTTCTGTTACTGCTAAATTATTTTAGTTGGTATGCTGTATGTAAATGTTTCCAGAATTCAAAATTAAAAGCAAAGCAGATCTCTATTGGACTAAACAGGAATCATACATGCACCTTCCACAGAAATGAAATGTGAATGGTTTTTTAATTTTGTTTTAATTATTTTGGAAAAGTAAAGATCAGTTTTCCGTTTCTTGAATTGGCCTTATTTTGAGCATTGTGTATGATTGCCACTGACTTAAATATCGTCTGTCAAGAGTTCATAGAGACGTGTAGTATTGAAACTTGTGACTTGAAAATAGTTTGACCTGTGACACAATATGCATCATTCAAGGTTCTAAAATGTGTTGACAAACCACCGACATCTGGAAACTGTGGAACAGTTTTCTTCCATTATCGATCCTGATAGTATTAGTGTTTGAGAGGAACAGAAATGTGTGTGCTGTATAGTTTGGAATAATGTATGTGACTGATCAGTTTTTCTTTCTTTTTTTTCCCCCTCTTGTTTTTATCATGCTACTTTGTATCTGTTAGTTGGTTTACAAATGAGACTCATTCTTGGTGTAAGATGGTTATAATAAGCAGACAAGAATTAAATACATTTATCCTATATTACTATTCCATATGGGATGTGAGGAGCAAGAAAGTAGTTTCGGACCACATTTGAAGCAAGATCTTTGACATTAGTATGATAATTAGAAGCATTTCATTGTAATTTCATTTCTGAGACACAAAGAATTAAACATTTCCTCTGCAAGTTGCAGAAGATCTTTGATTGGTATAACAACTTTTAGTCACAGAAATTTTGTTACACTAACAGTCAAACATTTTTATTGTGTGTGCAGTCATGCCTGTGCCCAAAGCACATTGATAGCTCATGGCTGAGTTGTATGTATAAACATGATAACTTGACAGTTTTGTCAAGGAATTTGAATTTTCGCATTTCCAAGAACTCTTAGGAATTAAATTAAAATGTCCTAGTTTAGTTTCCCCATTAGCTGATATTCTGGAAGAATGAAGAAGTGTCTCTTAAGAGTGCTGTCCTCTGGGTTGTTGCACCTTGTAGTCTGGTAGATGCCCACCAACGTTTCAGAGGTCATGCTGCCTCCATCATGAGGGCTATGAATAAGCCAATTGAAACCAACCAAAAAAGCTAACTAAGGGCAGAATCCTGCGCACGAGACGCATTGCTGGAAATGGTACACGGTCTTAAACTAAAAACAGAAATGTTGCTATCGCTAACAGTGTTCCGTCGTGGCGGGAGCCTCGACCATTCAAACTGGGATCTGTTGCTGCTGATGGGGGGTTATCCCGTCAGGCAACTTGTCCAAAGAATTTGGTTGGTTGAGTCTCTGGGGTTTGAACCCAGAGAGAGAAGGGTCATTTCGGCTGAAGGCCTCTGCGGCTTCTGGGGGAGATCACTTCAGCTGATGGCCTCCATGATCCGGGGGGGCTGTGCCCCTATTAAATTATACCCTGGCATTCGCCTTACAGCTGAGGAAAAGCACGTAAAACCTCCGTCAGGGTAGCCGAGCGGTCTGACCACTCGTTGCGCCGACTTGGCCGTCTTTTTGGGGACAGCCTCGGCTGGCCTGCCGAACATCAGCCCCCCTTGGGTGACCTCTGACAGCCCTCGTTCGGCACGAGTGCCTCCCGAGTTGCCAGACTAAGGGGTTCCCCACACCAGCTAACTTCGAGTCAAATCTCTCAGTCAGTGCTCTGATGTGGTCGGCAAAGAATGGGATCCCCAAATCCTCATGTATTTGCCCGTTACTAAAGTACCAAGGCGCGTTAGTAGCAATGCAAAGACACTTGGATTGCAACACTTGCAGCTTCCGGACATGGCTGCGGGTAAGCCATTTGAGTGGAAAGGGCTAGGTGTATAGGGATCAGACAGTAAATGGAGTAGCCTGATCCTAACCAATGGGAGCAAGTGTCAAACCAGGCATGGGTAGGGACCAATAGGAGTGTGTGGGCATGTCTGGGTGTATGAAGGGGAGAGAGGCCCAAGAAACAAGCCCTTTTGAGGGCCTCAGGGAGTCTGTCCAGTGAAACACCGGACATCAGTTCGGTGGAGAGGGACATCTACCAGACTACACGGCGCAACACCAGAAGACAGCAATCTTCAGACTCACTGCTGTGAAAACCTCAAATCCTACAAGTGTCTCTTAGTTTTCTAATTTCATCTTGGAGGTATGGAAATGAGCAACTAAAATGATGACCAAACAGTTAATCTGTGCTTCTTATTACTAACAAACAGAGATGGTATAGCAAATTTGGGTTTCAGTTTTTCTGTGACAAAAAGTTTGAATTTCCCTTGATGTTCTTCTAATGCTTTTTTCTGCTTTCTGCTCTTGTACTGATATGAGAGTGAATACAGGTAGCCCTCGATTTATGCCAGGGATGCGTTCCTGGACGAACCGGCGTAAACTGAAACTCTTTTATAATGACATGCGTTCTCAACACCCAAACATTGACGAGTAATATAATGGCATTACATTTAAGGCTCTGAAATAACGTAAATAAAATAAAGGGAATTTAACAAATATGTTTCATACACTTACAATCGGCGATTCGTTGGCCCCCGCGATTGACTGTGATTATTTCATGTAATTGATGTGTAGTCATCTTTGCTGTTATGCGATAGTTGCATTCACGTAAGACGCCGATCTATAGAAAATCGCGTAGTAAAAATAACCCTGGTACCTCCACAGAGATTAAATTAGTCCTTTGAAAGTTTAAAGCGCCAGGAATGAAATTGCATAAGAGCAAATTCGCATATGCAATAGTTTGCATTTCACAAACAGCTTTTACCGATTCATCGCTCTCATTGGAGCAAATTCGCGTTAACGAAACATATGTAATTGCAAACATGATTCTATTTATAATTTTTATTCCAAATCAGCAATGTAAGAATTACGATTTAGTATAAGAATCGGTGCGAGATACATTCTAAAACGTTATAAATAATAGTAAAATATATTTTTTTCACTTTTTGACTTGCTGGTTTCAAAATCGGTGTTATTCTGAATCAGCGCAAATTGAGGGCTACCTGTACAGGTCTGTTTTCCTAGGTTTTTAAATATTTTTATTATGTATCTTGGTCATCAGTTGAAATGCAGGCTGAATGAAGATAAATTTTTTACATTCCAAGTTCTAAATCAAATCTGCTGCTTTTATCATAAAGAATCTTTTCCTAAGACATTGACAGTTTGGCATTGAAATATTTGTATTAGTCACACCAGCTGCAAGAGAGAGAAAGATAGATGTGTGATTCTTGAGGAAGGAGCACTTGTGAGTCTTTATTGCACGTCCTCTGGTTGACCGGGGTTTGATCCCCAACCAGGGCAGAGGATTTTCCTCTAGCCTCTGCGTCCAGACTGGCTCTGGGGCCCACCCAGCTTCCTATCCAATGGGTACCGGGGTCCTTTACCAGGGGTAAATCACGGCCGGGGCGTGATGCTGACCACTTACCCCCATCTAGTGCCGTGGTCAAGAATGAGTAGGAGCTATACCTCCACTCCTTCCAAGCACCTACATGGCATATAGTGGGACAGCTTTTACTCTTATTTCTTGAGAAGCTTCTGCAAATGCTGCTGACACAGTCCCTTACTTCTGCTCTTCCCATAGGATTCCTCAATTAATCACACCATTCTCTCGTCTTATTTAAAACTTATATAAATCCATTTTGTGTGTGCACTTTTGATCCTTATATTTTCAGTGTGTCTCAAATAAAAATGTCAAAAGACGATTTGCTGTTTATGCAGTAATTCAGTAGTTGCATTTCAAGTTGTGAAATGTTGTGGGTAGACAGCTTTAAAGAAGAGAAGGGAGTAGTTTATAAGTTAACTTATCTGGTCAAGAACTAACCTCCTCCTACAGTACATCACTGATTAAATCCAATCCACACCATCATACTCTTTTTGTTAACATCCATTTGTAGTATTATTTTCCCATCTGTGCTGAAGTCTCCTGAGTCTTTAAAAATAAGCAAACAAACAAACAAACTGTTAACACTATAAATGACACCAGTGCCAAACATGTTTGAAACTCTTGAGGTCAGTGGTAAAAGGGGAATTAATTCATATAATATGATCAAAATAAATAAGGTTTTAAAACATCCTGAAGGTGAGTGCTTTACAAAACCATAATAAGTAACATAACACTAGATGATGGTTTCACAGGAGTTGGCATATTATACTCTGCACTTGGCTATTCCACTGGTCTGGTGGCCATGGTTGTATGAGACTATGTAAGTACAGTAACACCTGAAAGGATTATAAGTCCTTGTTAAACTGTAGAAGTTCATCAATGGAAAAAAAATGTTTTTAATTATGTATTTATTTAAAGCCACTTCAAATGTCTGCATTTTTCTAAAATAGGCTGGGTGGCAGTGTTGAAGATGTTGATGCCAACATTGTGAGCACCTCTGAAAATATGAAAGGCTGACAATTTTTCCAAGATGGTTCTTATTCTTTGTGTTGACAATGTTTTGTTGAATTTGCCTGAAAACATTCCAGGCTATTTATGATAAAGTTCATTTAAGTCTCAGTACCCACTGTCATCAAAGAGGACTGCTTGTCGCATACTAAATACCAGCCAAGCAACTCCTAGCTATTAGATAGCACATCATCCACGTAATTTTATGTCGCAAATCTAGTTCCGCATTTAGCCACCTCAGGGAGGCAATATGTAACTGACATTATGTTGGTGTTACTGGTATAATACAGGTAACCAACATATTCTCCTTACTTGGTCGTCATACCTCCTCGACTATCCTATTACCTGGATACAAGCTCGATATTTCAAAATGGCGTCTTCGAACACAGTATTTTTTTCCTGTTATTTGGCATAGTTTTGAGTTCGGCCTTCAGAGGGCGCCGATCAGACACTAACACTCTCTGACGTTTTAAACTTGGCCACCAGAGGGAAGCAATGCCACATTTACCTGAAATTATGTTGGTACACCTTGTGTTGAGCAGAGTGACCAACTCATTTTCTATATTTGGCCGTCATACCTCTTCGGTTATCCTACTACCTGGATATAAGCCCGGCGTTTCAAAATGGCGTCTTTGTACATTGTAGTGCCATAGTTCTCCGTTCGGCCGCCAGAGGGCTTGCGACATTGCAACCCATCAACAAGAAACGCCATTTTGAATGTCGTTCTTGTATCCAGGCAATAGGATAATCAAGGAGGTATGAATTCCAAGTAATGAAAATAAGTTGGTGACCCTGTGACAAACCAATTTATGAAGATTTGGAGGAAGTAGTCACTGCTATTTTAAGACATCTTAGCATTTGCATGGAGAGACTGAGAGAGCCCATGAATAGACTTCAGGATAGCCAGACTCTGGTCTAAGAATTGAAACAAAGGAATGCTAACCACATAACACCAATGTTCAGAAATTTTTAAGTGCATTACTGTCCTACATGTCCTTATTGTGAAAATCAGTTTGAAATTGTATGTGTATTCAAATTCTTTTCAAGCTTTTTTCACTGTGATGTTTTGATTTTAGTTTCAGATCTGTATCACATTTGAACATCAACTGTTTATGTTGAAGAAAGTGTTTCTCTTGTTTTTTGTTATATGCCAGATTGATATAATTCCATTAATTTAGAATGTCAAAGGTGCATAAATTAAAATAAAGTCACAGTTATGTGTGTGTTTGTATAAAAAATGTGGAAAATAAACTTTTTATGCAAACAAAATAAACACAATCCATTGGTATCAATTTCTTTTAATCTTTTATACATAACTAGATGGCTTACCGAACCCGAAGGTTCATCACCGAATTAACCAAAATCCTCCACCGGACCCTGTCCTGGGCCAACAAAATCCAGTCTCCTTCAAATCCTATCTCCTATAATTTTATAAGAATGTTGCTAGCTTTATCTGTTGGCAAAATGTTTTGGGAGGAATTTACTTAAGTACTTTACTGGAAGAGAGAATGTACAAATTTGTCAGTTAATATCATAATTTTTAGTATATACTCATTCAAATCTTAGTGCTGAATCTGTGAATTCACACAATATATATATAGTTTTCCATTTACTTCGTAAGATGTAAACCAGTAAAATGCATGGCGTATAGTGGGACAGCTTTACAAACATCCATGAGAAACATTTCATAGAGCAGTCTGTCAAGAGGTTACATTTTATGGAAGTGGAGGGTTCATATGAACTTGCCAATGGTCCCTAATGTGAGCCAAATTATTACAGCCCCCCCTCTCTTTGTTTAATTTTAATATCCCCAATCTATGCCTATCAATAAGCTTACAATTTTCGAGGTTACTTGCAACCACAGTTTGTAGCCTTGTGTCGAGAAATACGAAAGTCCTGGGTTATAGTGGAGCAAAGAATAAACACAAGCGTGGATGTTAACAGTCTTTAATGTAGTCCATCAATGTTTGCTGGATATTTATGTTCTGTGATGTAGTCCATACATGTTTCCGTGAAATATCTACAGTTGTATACATCCCTGCAGTGAGTGTGTGACGTTGAACAATTTTGTAAGTAGGTTTGTACGAAGAAGTTTTGTAAGTTGTAATTAATAACGTCCTATTAGTGTCTTTTTAGTTTTAACATACTTTGTTTTTAAGTTTGCCGACATTATACAATCTGTGGAACCAATTTCGGTCAATAGGAAACGTGGAAGGAGTAGGTAAGAAAGACAACAAAAGAAACAAAAAAGTGCGCGCTATACTGGCATCAAAACTTTCTGCAGTCTACCATCTAGTCTCTCGAGTTTTATGAATAAAGGGTCACAGTTTAAAGTAACATTAAAAAGGTACTTACATTCAATTTATTTCCCCACTCGCCCACTCTATGGTGCAGGATATTCTCGGAAAAGTCGATTGTATACTCGGCCTGTTTAAAGAATAGCCCACTTTCCGTATGGGACCTAAAGGTTTAGCACAGTGTTCACAGAAGCCTGCCACTGGACTCTATCCTGAGCTAGCTGCATCCAGCTTGCTCCATTGATTCGTGTCTCGCCAAGGTCCATCATCTTCCCAGTGGTCTCCTCCCTTCACACCTCCCAACCATTACCTTGTGAACACCCCTACCCTCCCCCATGTGTGCCACATGTCCTGCCCACTTCATCTTTCTTGATTTAAAGATTATGGACATAATGATAGCAAGCATTCCCAGAATTTTATTTTGCCAAAGGTTTCATTGAAATATGTTTTAATTAGCCTTATTAACTTAGGTATACCAAAGTCAAGCAAAATGCTGTAAAGAGCTTCTATTTTAACTGAGTCAAAGGCTTTCTTGAAGCCTATAAATAGTTGATGTACTGTCCCATTGTACTCCCACTTTTCACTTTTTATCTGGTATCTGACAAATGTTGAACATTTGATTAGTTGTAGATCTATTACGATGGAACCCACACTTATGATAACCCAATAATATCATGCTATGTATATGTGGATTTATTTGAAACAGTTTATTACTTTATATGAAATCTTTATTTATTCTATGTGAAAAGTTTATAATATTTTGAACTGCACTTGTTTATAAATATTGTATTTTGACGCAAGTACGTCTATACGGAAGGGTCATTTGGCAAAAAAGCATTAGGAAGATGTGTAAGATCCATACCAACAATGTGTAAATTGTTATATCATCTGTCCACTGTCAATTTTTTATTACTTACTAGAGCAAAACGCTCCTTTCGTCTATCAAGGTCATTCAGCAAAAAAGTGTAACTTTTGGGGGGGGGGGTTGCGTTTTAAAATCTTGAGTAAGAAACTAAACTAACCCCCTGAATGGGGGGTTAAAACACCCCTCCCCCCCCCCCCCCCCCCCTTCGGGGGTGTTAGTTTAGTGTCTTACTCAAGTGTTTTAAATACAGAGATGCCAGTTTTCGTAATCATAATATATCGAATGAGCAGTATGCCTTGAATGAGTAGTATTATTAGTATCACTTTACCTTGAGTAGGAGTAGGAGCTATACCTCCACTCCCCCCAAGCTCCTACATGGGGTATAGCGGGACAGCTCTACTTTAGGAGCCTGCGTAGCTCAGTGAGTATAGTGACTGGCTACGGACTGGGCGACCGGGGTTCGATCCCCGACGGGGTCAGAGGATTTTTCCTCTAGCCCCTGCATCCAGACCAGCTCTGGGCCCCACCCAGCCTCCTATCCAATGGGTACCGGGGTCCTTTCCAGGGGGTAAAGCCGGCCGGGGCGTGATGCTGACCACTCGCCCCCATCTAGTGCTGAGGTCAAGAATGAGTAGGAGCTATACTTCCACTCCCCCCCAAGCGCCAACATGGCATATAGTGGGACAGCTTTTTACCTTGTTGGTGTTGGTATACCAACACAACAATGCCAAGTAAACAAATAACATGACACTGTTTGATGATGTAATTGTTTGGCTACAAATTGTATGATGACGACAAATCAGAAATTTTCACAGTAGATTCCACATCCTATTGTCATGTGTCTAACTTATGGATCTAAGGAATGTAATAATGTGTTTGTATGTAAGTAAAATAACAAAGGAAAGAAAATAATGATTAAGGTTATCTGTACGTATATGAATGGATTGAAGAAGAATATGGTTGAATTTATGATTGTGTCAGTTCTTATTGTAGTCTGTTGTAATTTTAATTTTATTTGCATCATTGATTATGCCAAATTTTATTTTAAGGGTTAACTATGCATTACAGAATATCTTAACTAACTTTATTCTAATATAATTAACAGTTTACAAATGTTGAAGGTCTTCAGTGACATGTTTCATTTATGATTCTGTTTTAGTAAACACAATGGTAAAATAGCCCCTTAGGATGTCTTAACATATTGTAGATTAAACATTTCTTGTGAATAATGCAGACAGTTTGTTTTATGATCAGAATTATTAGGCTGTAGTCAGTACATACAATACACCAGTATGAAGATGTAAAAATATGGTTAATTTTGGTTAAGAGGGCTTTTACTTGGCATTGTTACCAGCGCCTGAAGGAGCATGTGATTTGGAATCAACATCTGATCCATTTCAGATCTGGAGTTTGAACCTGGATTTATGCTGGCTTCTGATTTGTTAGATTAGGTAAAGTGGAGTTTGTATTTCAGAGAGGTCACTGCACATTTGCATGACCAGGATAGGATTCACAAAGTTTGTACTCAAAAACCAAATTGGCAGTGCACCAACCACTTACAGAGTTTATATTAGATTGAAGTCGAGAACAAGCATGAGACTTTAGTAGGGAAAATTTTAATGTCTTCAACAGAAATAAGGTAATTAAAAAATTAACTGCATTCCATAAATCATTAATAACAGAAAGCTATGCCCTCAAAACATCCTTGTAGTACACTATAAGGTGACAATAGGGCTCCAGAATAATGGGCATTCAGTATCTCTTGGTTAAGGAACTATGAAATAAAATTGTATAACCATTAAGTAAGACATATGGAATAAGGTCAAAAGCATTGCTGATGTTAAAGTATATAGAATTAACTTGACCTAATGAATAAATGATATGGGTATCAAAATTGAAGAATAATAATGTTGATTAATGATGATGTAATTACTTTTCTAGTTGTTTGTAATTTTCACTTTTTATGTTTCAGGTAATTTGATTCACTAAGAATGGGGAAGAAGAAAGGTAAGAAATGTGATTTTATGGTTGATCCATCACAAGTGTGAAATACAGAAATGATTTTCTGTCTTGGAATTTACTCATTTTGTTCAAAAGTAGTTATTTAAATGTTTGACAACACTTAGGAATCCAGTTGATGAGTTCAGTAATATTACTGATTATTTGAGCAGAATGATAGTGGACAAGCATACCCCAATTGAGTAAACATGTTTTCCATATACTTTATTCTGTTTATATTCATTTATTGCTGATACAAATATGCTGTTACAAAGATAATCTGACCACAGTTAAACTCTGCAAAGAGCAATATTTTTGTTGTATTTTGTCAAATATTCACCATTTTGCAAAATGTTCTAAATAAAAGTTGTAGATTTTAATGAGATGTATGTTTTATGTCACCAACTGTGTGTACGATGAAAAAACTGACAGAATCTCTTTTCCTTGAGTTTAAAGTAAAATAGTGGTTATATTGGACTAATATTTTTTTATGATGGGGCTATAGTTTCTGAGCCGGTTAAGAAATCACCTTTCTTTTATAGATTTAGAAAGTTAATTTTTCTGTTGAACCCTTCCCTGATTCAGTTCAGCTATGTCCACCTCCCATATTATTTATGTAAGGTTCACTTTAACATTTCCACCTGTGCTTAGGTCTCTCTGTTTTTACTATATGCCCTGTCCATCTTATCCTTCTTGATTTGATCTCAATGATAAGTGGTGAAAATTACGAATTATGAAGGTCTTCTGTACCAGGAGAACGGAAAAAACTTGTTATAAACATATTTGTAGGTTAATTTCTTCTCATCACACTTTTCTCAAACATACTTAATCAGTGTATGAAATGAAGATTTTACGGCAACTGAAGTTGATGAAAGACTCTTGGACTACAAGCTGCATCAGGTGGCTGAATGGTGAACAAACCATATCTTCTGCCATTTCAAGAACAATCTCTGTCCTTGAATGGTTGGGAGAAGATGTGGTTTGTTCACTGTTCAGCCATCTGATGCACCTTGTAGCCTGAGAATCTTTCATCATGTTTAATCAGTGTTTTCTTAGAATGAGACAATATTGGGGGAGAAGTACACATTTTTAAGCTCGTCATATGCAGTTTTTTCCATGCCCCATCCTCATCTCTCCTGGGCCCAAATATCCTCCTCAGCACCCTATTCTCAAACATCTGCAGTCTGTGTTCCTCCCTGAGAGTGAGAGACCAAGTTTTGCACCCACACAAAACAACAGGCAAAATTATTGTTTTCTGTATTTTAATCTTTAGGTTCTTAGAAATCAGACTGGAAGACAAAATATTTTGAACTGAGAAGTGCTAAGCATTTCTGGAGCTGTTCCCAAATATTTGAACGTTGTCATGCTTTCAAGGGATTTATTAGCCACCCTAATATTATTTTACCCACCTGTCTGCTGACGGGATTCTAACACGTACTTAGTTTTTGACGTAAATACGTTTATACGGGTCATTCGGCAAAAAGTGTAACAAAAATGTTTAAGATCGATATTAACAAATCGACAACAATGATTACCTAGGAAACGTCATCTGTTTACTAGCCATTGTTGTTACCCAGGAAACATCATCTGTTTACTCAGCATTGTTGTTACCTAGGTTGGTCAAGTGTTTTTTGCAACCCCCCCTAAGGGGGGGGGGGTTGGTTGGGGTTTAAATACTTGACCAACCCCCCCAAAGGGGGGAGTTGGTCAAGTTCAGCTACCACAGACCCATCTTAAGTGTAACTAATTCAAGTTAAATAAGCAATGTCTTAATCAAACTTTGCTCAATTGTAAAGCATGTATAAAGGAAATATTTAGAATAAAGCTAATATATAAACTTCCTTTCCGTATAGACGTATTTACATCAGATTCTCCGGAACCGTGGTTCCACTGTCAATTTTTTCTGAATTTACTTCTAGCTTCACCTTTCTAATAGCTTCTAGTAAAACTTCTGTGTTACTCTTTATTGTATTTATATCTTCACCCAATAAATTATAATCATCAGCATATGTCAATGGCTGATGTGTCCCATTAAATTGCAAACCCTGCTGCCTATCTTGGACCTTCCTGATGGCATTTTATAATGAAAAGTTGAAGAGCAAATAGAAAAAGCATCTCCTTGTTTCAGACTGTTCTTGATGGAAAATGAGTCAGATAAATGTTTACCTATACAAATTTTGCTACAGTTGTCATTAAAGCACATTTTTATTAGTCTCACTAGCTTTGGTATACCAAAGTCCATGAGGATCTCTCTTAACAGATTTGTAGGCTTTTTTTAGTTATATAAACAATTGATGTACTCCCATTTTTTCTCTAGTATCTGACGGATGCAGAAGATCTGATCAGTTGTTAATCCATTTTGTCTGAACCCACAATGATGATCCCCAATAATTTCATTCACATATGGAGTTAATCTTGCCTGAAGAATGTTTGATAGAATTTTGTATGAGGTTGATAGTAGAGTAATTCTTTGGTAATTACCACACTCAAGGTTGTCTCCCTTCTTATGAATAGGAATAATTATGGATTCCTTCCATTGTTGTGGCATCTCTCCCTTATCCCAAATTAACTGAATAAGTGTATGGATTTCCATATGTAACTTTTTGCCACCTGTTTTAATTAAATTTACTGGTGATTATAACTTTTCAACTTTCCAATGACTAATTCATCTTCATCTAAACTAGGTTCTGGCACTAACAGTTCAGCTGTATGTATTTTAATGTGTCTAACATCATCAGTCCCATGAACATTTAAGAGCTGGTTGAAGAAATTTTTACAACTATTCAAAGTTTTGATTGGACCTGCAAGTAAATTGCCATTATTATCCTTTACCAAATTAGTGTGAGGTTTATATCCTTTCTTAAATATTTATGCCTCTGTACAAATCTCTGATGTTTTTGTCCTTACTATTTGTTTCAAGCTCAATAATTTTGCCTTTAAGATATCCCCTTTTCTTATTCCAAAGGTTTTACTAGTTCATGTCTCACGTTACATGGATTATCCATATTCATTTTGTTTGGGTCCTGAAACCATTGAAATTTTGTTTGCTTTCTTCGATATGTTAATTTTGAACATTCACCATCAAACCATGGTTTATTTTGCTTTCTCCCGTTGTATCCTAGTTTCTCTTTGGTTGAAATTTTGATACAGTTTATGACATTTTCCCACACCTTGTTGATATCCACACTTTCATTATCTTTATCTGTCTCTAAAATTTGAAATCTATTCAAACTTTGTTTTGATATTGTTCCTTTACCTCTTCCTCATTTAATTTTTTCAAATAAAATCTTTCTGTGACAAAGTTTTGTGTAATTTGTCTACTTACTGAAAGCCTCTCCCTCACTTGCCACTACCACATAATGGTCAGTGTCACAATCTGCGCCTCTGAATGACCTCACATCAATTATATTTGTCTGCCTTCTATTTCCATTGTGTACAAGTATTTTAATTTCAGATCTTACAAATCTGTGCAGTAGTTTTGTTGGTGAAGTACATGGACAGACTGACAACCTTCTCATTATGCATTTTGTACAAACACACGCACGCGTGCATTTCCTTTGTTGTTCAAATAATTGTTAAAAAAATTAATATATGATGTTGGTGCATCATTGTCTTCTTTTGTGTTTTGCATGTGGATATTCCTGTGCTTTTGTACATTCACAAAATAATTGCTCAGCATGTATTTAACTTCAGTTTGTCTGTATGTGTGATGTAATTCATCTCCAGTTGGATGCATTTTCACAAAATTTGTTATCAAAATAACTACAGACTGGTAACTTGTTTTGAGACATTAATTTATCAGTAATGGCAGCAGATGATAATTTTTTTTTTGTTAACTTAGTATTATAGTAAATTTGATTTTGAGCCTGATTAGTCATCAGTATTGTCAACCTATGCAGAGTTGTAAACTTCCCCTGATATGTCAAAGTGTTTACTTTTTGTATCTTGAGTTCTGTTCTTTGGGAATCTGGTAATACCTCTGTTTATGAACTGTTACTGAAAAATGGCAATTTGATATGTTACAATATGCCACTTCAGTGTAAGCGGTTTGACAAAAATTATCCAAGGATTTAAGACCCTTATATATTAATTTAGGAAAGAAATCTGGGGGACAGAAGGAAGAGCAGGCAACTGGAGGCCAGCCTGAGAAGCCCCAGAAAGCCGGTGGAGATGCACAAGTGGGGCCATCGCATATGCAGCAACTCGAAGCTGGTGGAGGTGCACAAGCAGGGCCACCACATATGCAGCAACTCCAGACTGGTGGAGGAGAACCTGGGTCATCAAAACAGAAAAAGAAGGGGAAACAACCACCCCAAGTGATGGAAGTTGGCGGGGTTGATGTCGGCCCGTTGCAACACGAGAAGAAGCAAGTGCAACAGCCGCATCAACCGCTACATGCACAGCAGTCTCCTAGCAGTGATGTTGGTACTTTTCATGGATATGGTAGAGGCCAGATACCACCAGATAGTGGCAAAGCAGGTATAATAGCTGACTAACTGACTGACTAAATGGAGCAGAGTTCTTTTTAAGAAACTGATAATACATTCAGTTCATCAAATTCCTTCCTTTTATGAAACCTAAAGGCTCAAAACTGTGTTAACAAGAACTTGCCATTGGTCCCTCTCTAGAGCCAGGTGAGTTCAGTCCACACCCTCCAACCACATTTTCATAAGATCCATTTTTAATATTGTCCTCCCATAAATGCCTAGGTCTTATGAGTACTCTCTTCCCTTCAGGCTTTCAAACAGAAATTTTATACACATTTTTCCCTCATCTCCCCTATTGCATCTCCTTGCTTAAGTCTGTTCTGTTCTATGTATAAAATACATCATATGAATGTTTATAAATAAATATTTTACTGTAGGATTCATTCAGACACATTTTAAATATTCTGACTAGTTTCAATGATGTGTTGTATTCAGTGAGAATGTAGCATAATGCTTTCGTCCTAATTGAATCATAGACTTTCTGGAAGTCTATAAATAGCTTATATACTGTCACATTTTACTCGCATCTTTTCTACAGTATCTGACAAATACAGAATATCTGATCAGTTGTTTATGAAGTATATTGAAATCCACATTGATGATGCCCTGTAATTTGTCTACATATATAGTTTTCCTAGTTGGAAGAATGTTTGACCAAATTTTGTATGTGATTGGGAATGGTGATTTTCTTTGTTTTTACTACAGACAGTTTTACAGTTTTTCTTATTAATAGTTACAATAATAGATTCCTTCCACTGCTTGTGCAGTTCTTGCTTATTCCTTATCCCTGAAGATGGAGGCAGTATCTTTCTCCAAAATATTGGCATCTGCCTTTGAATTTACACAGCAGGAAAACCCAGAACAACATTATCATCCTCACCACAGTAAAAACGTCAGATGGCTCAGCTGTATGTATTTTAGTTGATCTAACATCATTAACTGGTACCTGCACCTTGTCGTGGTGGTGGGGCTTGAGTACCTCAGTGACCCCAAGAGCTATGCTGGCGGTAGCATTGCTACTGGTAGGGCCTCCCTAGCCAGATTGGTCGAGGGGGAGAGGTCAGACTAAGACGGGTACCCTGGTCCTCCAGGTTGGGGGTTGGTCGCAAGGCTAACAACCTTGCATCGTAAAAAAGAATAAAGTTGAGAATAATTTGATGAATGAAGCCGGACTGTCCTCACGAAGACGAACATTAGCTAGGAACAAGGATAAAAATTTGGTACTACATATTGGAACATGGAATGTGCGCACTCTGCTACAAGTAGGAGCGATGAATGGTATAGCTGATGAAATTATAAAATATAGAATGGAAATTGTCGCTATACAAGAAATTAGATGGAAAAATAAGGGAGTAATAAATAAGGCAAACTTCTCCATATATTATTCTGGGAAAGACGATAGGCAAGGAGAATGTGGAGTAGGATTTATTGTTACCAGGCAAATGCGTAAGGCTGTGCTGGCCTTTACGCCAGTAAGTGAAAGAATATGTACACTTAGAGTAAAAGGGAAACTCCATAATATAACACTTGTTAATGTCTATGCACCAACCGAGGGGACAGAAGAGGTGGCAGTAGATGGTTTCTATGATGAATTGCAGTCTGTATGTGATAAAATTTCGAAACATGACATGATA